CCGAACACGCCCCCAAGAGGCCCTCCCAGGGGCCACATCACTTCCGCCGACCCAAAGTGGCCCCTCCCTCCTGCGCCTCAGAAACCTACAACATCCAACCCAAACCTATGGAAAATCTGTGATTTGGGCCCCGTCGCCCTCTTGGGGCCCCACGAGGGCGTCCAGACGGCCCAAGATTCATTGTGAAAGTTGGAAACCTTTAAAAACAAACGTGACCAGACAGCGCAAGAGCGCCCCCAAAACGCCCACACGCGGCTCCGAGAGGCCCCCAAGAGGCCTCCCAGAGGCCCCCAAGAGGCCTCCCAGACGCCCTCACGAGGACCGAAGATGCCCCAAAAAGGCCTCCAAGGGGCCCCCAAGAAATTTCCAGAGGCCCGACAACGACTGGACTGTACGTGCTCCGGACGTGCACCCCGCGAAGCGAAAGGAATCCACGTCCGGAGGTGACGTGTTGCCGGAGGCAGGTCCGCGGATGCTATAATGCAACGTATCCGCTGTGTCTAATGATTGCATACTTACTACATATTGTATTGTGTTACATTATTATGTACTACCCCCCATACCCCCCCAGGGGCCACGCCACTTCCGCCGACCCAAAGTGGCCCCTCCCTCCTGCGCCTCAAAAACCTACAACATCCAACCAAAACCTATGGTAAATCTATGATTTGGGCCCCGTGGCCCTCTTGGGGCCCCACGAGGGCGTCCACACGGCCCAAGATAGCCTCTGAACGGGCCAAGACGGCCCCCAAACGGCCCGACATTGTCCCAAGAGAGCCCAAGAAACCCCGAGGATGGCCCAAGAGGGCCCCGCGAGCGCCCACAACTGCGCCTCCAGAAGCCAAAATCCTGTATTTTCCTTTGGCTGTTTTGTATGATTTTAACGGTCTGGCCTTCTTTTCGGCCCTCGGAAGCCCATGACGGCCCGAACAGCTTCCAAAATGGCCCCATAAAAAGCCCCAGGGGCCCCGAAGATGGTTTCAAAACGGCCCAAGAGGGCTCCAAGACGCTCCGAAGAGGCCCCCAAGAAGGTTCAAGAGGCTCCCAAAACGGCCCGAGAGGACCCCAAGAGAGACCCAAGGCGGCCGCGAGAAGCTTCCAAAAGGGCCTCCCGAGGGGCGAAACGGCGCCAAAGCGCCGCAAGACAGCCGATCACGCCCGCAAGAGGCCCCAAGAGGCCCCAAGAGGCCCCAAGAAACCCCCAAGAGGCCTCTACAAAACCAACAAGAAGCTTCCAAGAGGCCTCAAAGAAGCCTCCAAAAGGCCACACAACGACTGGACGGTAATGTCGTTTTTTCCCTCTGGGCGAACCGCGGTGCAGCGCCAGTCAGGTGGAATTTGTCACGGCGGCGCCCATGATTAGAGCCTGCGTTTGAAGGGAGGAAATCCACGTCCGGAAGTGACGTGCTCAGCGGCAGCGTTTTCCGCGGAAGCTGTACTGCAACGTATCCATTGCATCACAGAGTTGCATAATTGCTACACATTGTCTTCTGTTACATGATTATGTCTCCCCCCCCTGACCCCCCCAGGGGCTACGCCACATCCATCGACCCAACCTGGCGACCCACTTTTGGGGCCCCAAGACCTACCAACACCTATGTAAAATCTAGGATTTCGGCTGCTTGGGCCTCTTGGGGGGCCACGAGGGCATCAGGACGGCTCAAGATGGCCTCTGTGCAGGCCGAGACGGCCCAAGATGGCCCCAAGGGGGCCCAGCAAGGCCCCAAGAAGGCCCAAGACGGCCCCAAGAGGACCCTCAAGAACGCCTCCAGAAGTCAAAATCTTTGATTTTCCTAGGGTTTTTGAAGATTTCAGCGTTCACGCCTATTTCGACTCTTAGAAATCCAAGACGGCCGAAACAGCCTCCGAACGGCCCCCAAACGGCCCAAGACGCCCTCAAGAGAGCTGCAAAACGGCCCAAGAGGGCCCCCAGACAGCCCAAAGAGGCCGCCTAGATGCCCGAAGAGGCCCCCAAGACGGCCCAAGAGTACCCCAAGACAGTCTCCGAAGGGACCAGACAGCGCAATAGCGCCCCCAAGACGCCCACACGGGGCTCCGAGAGGTCCCCAAGAGGCCCCCCAAAGGCCCCCAAGAGGCCTCCCAGACGCCCCCGCGAGGACCCAAGAGGCCCCAAAGAGGCCTCCACGGGGCCCCCAAAAAGTTCCCAGAATCCCGACAACAACTGGACTGTACGTGCTCCGGACGTGCACCCCGCGAAGCGAGAGGAATCCACGTCTGGAAGTGACGTGTTGCCGGAGGCAGGTCCGCGGATGCGCTGTAATGCAACGTACCCAGTGTCTTCAATGATCGCATATTTTGGTGCCTATTGTTTTATGTTTCATTATCATGTCCCCCCTAAACCCCCACGCCACATCCGCCGACCAGGATGCCCCCCCCTTTCTGGAGCCCAAATACGTACAACAACCTATGGGAAATCAAAGATTTGGTCCTTGGGAAATCAACGATTTGGTCAATGATTGCATCAGTTGTGCATGTTGTTCTATGTTTCATTATCATGCCTCCCCCGCTAACCCCTCCAGGGGCTAGGCCACATCCGCCGACCAGGATGGCCCCCCCTCCCATTTCTTGAGCCCCAAAATGCACCACAACCCATAGCAAATCAATGATTTGGGCCCTGGGACCTCTTGGGGGTCCTAGAGTGCGTCAAGACGGCTCAAGATGGCCTCAAGACGGGCCAATACGACACCAAGACGGTCCAAGATGGCCCCAAGCGGGGCCCACAAACCGCGAAGAAGGCCCAATAGCTCCCCAAGAAGACCCCCAAGAGCGTCTCCAGATGCCAAAATCTTTTTCATCCGTAGGTTTTTGAAGGATTTCAGCGTTCTAGTCTTTATCTATCCTTAGAGGTCCATGACGGCCCAAGCAGTCTCCAAAATTGTCCCAGGACGCCCCCAAGATGGCCCAAAGAGGCCCCCAGGACGGTCCAAGGGGCCTCCAAGACGGCCCAAGAGGACCCCAAGAGTGCCCTAATGCGGCCGCGAGAGGCCTCCAAAAGGGCCTCCCAAGGGGCGAAACGGCGCAAGAGCGCCCCAAGACGGCCCAAGACGCCCCCAAGAGGCCCCGATGAAGCCGCCAAGAGGCCCCAAGAAGCCCGCAAGAGGCCTCCAAGGAACCCCAAAGAGGCTTCCACCAGGCCCCACAATGTCTGGACTGCACGTGCTCCTGCTCTGGACGTGTACCCCGCGAAACGAAAGGAATCCACGTCCGGAAGTGACGTGTTGCCGGAGGCATGTCCGCGGATACTGTAATGCAACGTACCCAGTGTCTTCAATGATCGCATCTTTTGGTGCCTATTGTTTTATGTTTCATTCTCATGTCTCCCCCCCTAACCCCTCACGCCACATCCGCCGACCAGGATGCCCCCCCCCCCCCTTTCTGGAGCTCAAATACGTACAACAACCTATGGGAAATCAACGATTTGGTCCTCAGGGGTCTTGGGGGTCCAAGAGTACGTCAAGACGGCTCACGATGGCCTCAAGACAGACCAAGACGACCCCAATACGGTCCAAGATGGCTCCAAGAGGGGCCCACAAAGCCCCCAAGAAGGCCCCTGAGGGCCTCAAGAGGATCCCCACGAGCGCCTCCAGAGGCCCAAATCATTTTCTTCCGTAGGTTTTTGAAGGATTTTAGCGTTCTCGTCTTTATCTATCCTTAGAGGTCCATGACGGCCCAAGCAGTCTCCAAAATTGTCCCAGGACGGAGGACCCGAAGACGGCCCAAAGATGCCCCCAGGACGGTCCAGTGGGGCCCCAAGACGACCCAGGAGGACCCCAAGAGTGCCCTAAGGCGGCCGCGAGAGGCCCACAGGATGGCCTCCGAATGAGCCAAGCGGCGCAAGAGCGCCCCAAGACGGCCCAAGACGCCCCCAAGAGGCCCCAAAGAAGCCGTCAAGAGGCCCCAAGAAGCCCGCAAGAGGCACCAAAGAGGCCCCAAAGAGGCTCCCACCAGGCCCCACAACGTCTGTACTGCACGTGCTCGACGTGCACCCCGCGAAGCGGAAGCGAGAGGAATCAGAAGAGATGGTACGGAGAGCGGGACCTGAGACACGCTTTCCTGGAGATCAGTGGCCAAGACCGTTAACACAGATGAGCGGAGTGGGTGAAGGATTGCGCGAGGCTGCGGAGAGTGGAACTCGACGAGGGCCAGCTGGGCAACCACTGGCAGGACTGCCAGATGCCCGCCGGCACGAGTTTGAGAGGGCGCCTTCTTCTGGTGGAGGCGAACGCCGAGCGGGGGCTCCCCAACCTTGGCATGAAGGGAGCCCGGCCCCGAGGGAGACGTGCCCTGGGCCCTGGGGCGCTCACCCCGGGACGAGCTCTTCGTCCTCAACCGTTTCCCGACGGTCCTGGGGCACGGGGAGGAGGGCCCCAGGCCGGTGGCTCAGAGCTGGGGTCCTGAGGGATGGGGTCCTACGGGCGAGGTGCCTCAAGCAGCGTAAATCCACCCTTGGGCCACTTCCTGCCCTCAGGACCCCATCCCTCAGGATCCCATCTTCGAACCACCGACCAGGAGGCTGAGAGCGACGCAGGAGTCTCCAAACCCGCTCCTGAAGAAACTGGGAGATACCGACACCGCCACCCCCGGGGACCTCTCCTGGGGCGCGATATGGCCAGGATGTCCAGGCGAATCCAGCCGTGGAGATGAGGGACCCCAAGAGGGCCAGAGAGGCGAAAACGAGGCAAGGGTAACGATGTCGGCAGTTTTTCCTTCCCTGAGTCCCCTTTCACCAGACGTGCACATGCTTGCTGTTTTCATAAGGTGGTACCCGAACGTCCCGACCCTTTCCCCATGCTGCAGGGCCGGCTTGGCATCCAGAGCCGTTGTTGGACAGTTTCGAGGCCCAGCGAAGGCCCCCAGAGGCCGAGAACGGCTCAAATACCTCCTGCCGTGATCTCTTGGTACCCCAGGGCCGGTTTTGCATCCAGAGTCGTTGTTGGACAGCCTCGGGGCCCAGCGAGAAGCCCCCGGAGGCCGAGAACGGCCAAAAGCCTCCCGCCGTGATCTGTTGGTTCCCTCGGGGCCAGCGCCAGCGAGCTGCCCACGCCGACGCCCGCCACCACCGAGGCGGCGAGCACGTGCAGCACGGGCCCCCCGGGCGAGCCCAGTGGTACGTGCCGCACCACGCCGAGGGCGCCGCGGCCGCGCGCGCCGCGGCGGCAGAGCTCCAGCTGCGCGGCGGGCTCTTCCCGCTCCCGGCGCCGCCGTAGCCCGACCGACCTGCCGAGGCGCAAGAGCAGTTTGTTTGTTTGGTAGATTTTTTTGTTTGCTTCATGCTCTCATTCTTCTGATTGTTCATGTTTCTTTTTCTTCTATTCGTATAGTTATTAGCAGTGCTCTTATGGTGATGAGCATTCGTGCTGTTAGTATGATAGTATGGCGATGGTCTTTGAGACCATTGCTATTACGCATTTCCCCCCCGCTCAAAGCCACCGAACGTCTCATCAAGCGCGGCATATCGCCAGAGCCAAACTGCGCCAAAGCGTGACAATAGCGTGGTGGCCGCCGAGCGGCAGAGTCCTCGAATACATGCGTAGCATCTTGAGGTTCGGTGCAACTAAGACTTCCCTTCCCCGCCGAGGAGGCCTTTGCCCCGCTGGCGGACATGCCACTCCAGACGGAGATGCGTGCCGCCTCCTCCAGGCTGCAGGCGGTGCCGAGGGGCTTGCACAGGAAAAAGAACGCCTTGGACAGGAGCCGGAGGCGAAGATCCGGAGGGTGATGGGGGCGACGCACACATAGTGTTGGTATGCTGGGGTGACGCCGAGTGCACACCCTCTCCCCTTTGCCGGCCTGAGCGCGCCGCTCCTCTCCCCTCCTCCAGGCCCTGTGACCGCCGCCCTCACAGACAAGCACGTTCCACCACTCGCAGAGCAGCTGCTCGCCAACGGCCTCGAGCCGCCGCGGGGGATCTGCGACACACCACACCGAGGCAAACACGTTCTTGCCTGCGTTTGCGAGCAGGCACTTTGCGAGCAGTGTTAGGTCGGGCCTGTCCCCCTACAGGGGGGATTTTCGACGAAAAATAAAAAGTACCCTAAAAATAATCCAAAAGTAGTCAAAAAATAGTCTTGGGACTATTTTTCTAATATTTTTTGACCTTTTGGGGGTATGTTTGGGGTACTCTTATTTTTTCGGCGACAACTCCCCTGTAGGGGGACAGGCCCGACTTAAGAGTAGTGGACCGCGCTCGGTGACCTCCGCTTGCAAGCTTGCATCGGAAGCGGCCAAGAGGGGGGTGTCCAAGAGGGGTGTGTGCAAATCATGACCGGCGGCATGTGCGCGGCCCAGCGGGGGGGCCAGGGACGTATTGAAACAAGAAGAGGCGCCATAAAATCTGGGGAGATATCATGGCCCCCGCCATGATACCCCCCCCCCCCTAGTCATCACCCCCCTCTTTGCCGCCCCCGAAAGCTTGCAGGGCCGTCCAGCAGCGCCTGGGCGTCGGCCTTCGGGCCACAGCCCAGCCCTGCGGCGGCCGTACGGAACGCTATTCGGGCACCCCCGGCGAACGCCATCGGCGCGGCGCGGCCGCTGGCAGGCACCCCGCAGCTGCAAGAGACCGCCCGAGGACCTCGCGCCTTGCACTCGCCGTCGCTCGGACGTCCATTCCCTGTGTCTTTGTCGGTCTCGTGCGTGTTTTCTTTCGCCAAATGGTTGAAGTATGCTCCTCGATGGTCCTCGCCGAAGGAAGCATGCACACGTCCGAGCGATGCCAAGTGCACGGCGACGTCCGCCGCCGTGCGCGATCCAAAAGTGCCCCCCCCTCCGACGAACGACGAACGACGAACGACGAACGACGAACGACGAACGACGAACGACGAACGACGAACGACGACGACGACGACGAACGACGACGACGACGACGACGACGACGACGACGACGACGACGACGACGACGACGACGACGACGACGACGACGACCCCCGGCGAGAGCTCTGCGGCCGGAGGTCCGCGGCCGCGGCCGCGGCCGCCAACTCCCGCAGGGCGCCGCCGGGGCCGCCGCCGGGCCCTCCCGCGGCCCGCGCCGCCCGGCGCGCCCGGCGTGCAGTGCGGCGGGCCCAGGAGGCGTTGGCCGAGCCCGCGTCGCGCGACGAGGCCTCCTCTGGGCAGGCGCGCTCCACGACTCGCGGAGTCGCGGGGGCTGCACGATACAGCACATCGAGGCACACACACACATGTGTGTGTGTGTTTCTCGGACGCTTGCGAGTGGGCTCGGTGATCCTGTCGTCGGAGGAGAATCGGATAAGGATGCCTCTCACCTCTCAGGGTCTGACGCCTCCTGGGCACATTCCTTCAGGACGGCCCCCACCGTAAGCTTTCGGAGGTCCGTGTGGGTCTCTTGGCTCGGCTCTGGGTCGCCGGAGCGCGCCAGGGGCGGCGGCGCAGGCGCCGCCGGGGGGTTCAGCGCCGATCGAAGAAGACATCCGCGCGGACGTCCGACAGCTTATGAGGAGGCAAATTTGCTGTTGTTCCATTCGAGGCGTCCGCCGTTCATGACACCACCGAGACCTGGTCGAGTCGAGCATGGGGAGTCGGGTCGAGGCGAGCCAGGGGCGCGAGGTGCCCGCAGGGCGGAGGGGGACCAGTAAGAGCCGAGGGCGACATCGGAGGGGATGGAACCAGAACGGCTCGTCTGTCCAGACCGGACTGATCCATCAGAGGCGAACTTGCCAGATCCTATCGCAGGCGGCCCTGCGGCTCCTGTGCGCTCGCAAGCAGGAGGCGCCAGGCGTCCCCAGTGGCTGGCCGCTGGCTGCCCCCGCCGCTCGCGCCAGCCCAGGGCCCGCAGCCAGCCCCCGAGAGGCCCTGGCCCGTGTCCTCGCAGAGCAGCAGGCCCAGCACCGGCAGCGTGGCGCGCACGCAGGGCGCCCACCGCGACCTCGCCGCTGCCGCCACCGCCAAGGCCGCGCCCGCAGCGCCGCCGCCGGGCAGCCCCAGCAAGCCGTCCGCGCGCAGCGGTGCCTCGGCCGCGCGCGCGAGCTCCGCGGCCGCTCCGCCGCCGCCGCCGCCGGCGGACGCCAGCACGCGGGCCACCAGCGCGAAGAGGCCGGCGCACCCCAGCGACGGCCTGAGCGCGCTCGCGGCCGCTGGCAGGCTGGCCGCCTGCGAGGCCACGAGCGCGGCGCCCGCCTCCACGGCGAAGCCGCTGCCGCCCCTGGCGAACCACGGGTGCTCCGGCAGGCACGGCCGCAGCGCGCTCGCGCCGCGGGCCTCCCAGTCGGACAGCGCGCCCGCGCACAAGCACGGCGCCACGTGGAGGGCGGCGAACCCGGGCGCCGCCAGGGCCTCTGCGAAGTCCCCAGGCTGCACGCCCCAGAGCCAGGGCCGCCCGCAGCCCGCAGCGGCCGCCGCCGCAGGGGTGGTGTCGAAGCTGCCCGGGTCCTCCGCGGCCAGGCGCAACGGCCGACGCTGCAGCCCGGCGCCCGCGCCGGCCGTGCTGGGCGCCTCAGCATCGGCCACGCCCCCCGCATCCACAGCAGGCGCCGTCCTGCCGGGCGGCGTCGCGGTGGCGGCGGAGGCCGTGCACTGCCAGCGGTGGGAGAATAGGAGTGCCACCAACACCATGTCAGCTGGCCGCCAGGCATGGTGCCGAGCCGAAGCGGCTGCGGCGCAAGGTCGAGAAACGAGGGGAACGGCACCACGGCGCCTCGAAAAAGTCGTGGGCCGAGAGCCCCTGCCCCGTCGGCCCGCGCCGGCGCCCACGCGGCTCGCGCTGTCGGCGGCCGCGTGGGCGGCCGCCGCGCGCTCTTTTCTTGCTGACCGAGAGGGCGCCGCAACCAGACCGCGGATCCGCTCGCCACTCTGCTCGGCGCGCGGAAGTCTGAATCGGCCGCCGCGGGCATCCTCGTGAGCGCAGGCGCTTGGGGTGCTGGCCCGCCGGCGGCCGCAGCGGCCCACGCTGGCGGCGGCCGCCCCAGCTGCGACTCAGCGGCCCCGCTGGCCACGCTGCGGGGTGCGCGAGGCGCCAGTCAGCCCGGCGCCTGAAGGGCGTGGTGGCGGAAACGAGGCGGCAGATCGCAGTCATCGGGGAGGCTGGCGCGAGAAGCAGGACGATCAAGGGGAGATGGCGCCAGGAAGGGCTGGGGCTCGGAGGGTGAAGGAAGCCACCCATCCCCTGAAATCCTGGTGCAGCGGGCGATTTCGCACTGGTTCGGGCCCTGGCACCCTTCGATCCGGCTCGAAAGACGCAGCAGAAAGATGGGGTTTGGGCTTCCCGTCGTGATTTTTCGCGATGCTGTATTTGTTTCGCCACGTCGGATCTCAGGGTCTGGCGTGGAGAAGCGGGGTGATTGGCGACAGAGCAGGGTGGACTGGGGGAGCAAGGGTCAGAAGGGGCTGGACCATGGAGGGCAAGAGGCGTCTGGCGCTTGAGGGGGGGCCGCTTGGGGACGGATCTGGCCTCTCCGGGACCGGGATTTTGCCTTTGGCTGGCAGAACCGTAGCTTCACAGCTAAGCTGTCCCTGCATCAGCCAAAACTTACTCGTGGCTTGCCCGTGCTCGGACTCTTTGCTGACTGGTTGGCTACGCGTCACGGAGCTGTCTCAACGTGCTCGCGACTCACTCGTAGCGCGCCTGGACTCTCATAACCTTTGGCTTCACCAGCGGTGTGCTGATGGCTCACCCGTGGGGCTGAAGACCTGAATCATGGGGCACCCCGAACAGGAACGGCCTGTTGCCCGAATCCGTTTGGTTCCCAAGCCTGGGCGCGCTCGCGGCCGGATCCCATGGTTTCCATGCGTCTGCGAGCCATCTGCAGGGCTCCCGAGCCCTGGGCCATCCCTCCGAAGGGAGACATCCCATCCCAACCACCTCAAGCAGAGGAGGGGCTCCGCCTGCTTACCCGACCAAGCGTGCGCAGAGGATCCCCATGGTCTGCCCGCCCTCGCTGGACTCTAGACGTCGTCCAGGCGGGCAGCAGCCAGAGTCGCTTCCGGTCTGCATGCCCTCGTCGTGACCTGCCCTCCTCTTGGCCTGTGGTCGGCGGTGGCCGGACAGCACTGCACCTTAGCTTTTGGCCTGAGCCTCGAGCTTCCCCTGGAGGCGAACCCTTAAGAGCGTTCGAGCTGGCTGCGGGGCTGAGGTGGCTCAGCACTGGTTCCAGCCAGCAGCAAGGGGGGAGCAAGGGGGGCCCCTCGTCGCCACGGCTGGATGCGGTTTGAATCACCGGTCAGCTTCGACCCGAAGACGTGACCAGCGACCAATTTTTGAGCGGAAT